ATCTCTCCAAAGGCAAGTAATTCTCTTATTTTTCTCTTTGTTTTGCAAAGCTGCTCCAGAACAGATTCAGTATTCAGTTCCTGAAGAACTGGAAAAGGGCTCCATTGTGGGAAATCTTGCCAAAGATCTGAAACTAAATACTGCAAGTAGCAATCTACATATCCTTTCTTTAGGGGAAAAGCAATATTTCATTATCAGTGCAGAAAATGGGAATCTTTATGTAAATGACAGAATTGATAGAGAGGAAATATGTGGGGAAAGTATATCCTGCACCATCAGTTTTGAAGTGATGGCTGAAAATCCTATGAATATTTTTCATATAATTGTAGAGGTCCAGGATGTGAATGACAATGCACCACATTTTCTGCATGGTGATATCAAACTGGAGATCAGTGAATTAACTTTGCCAGGAGCCACGTTTCACCTTGAGCAAGCTGAGGATCCTGATATTGGGATGAATACAATACAAGATTACAGCCTTAATATAAATCAGTACTTTGTTCTGGACATGACAGAGAGAGAATTTGAAAAAACTTATGTAAAGTTAGTACTGAACAAACAATTGGATCATGAAAGTGAAAGCAGTTTCCATTTAACTCTTATGGCTCTGGATGGAGGAAAGCCACCAAAAACAGGGACAGCCAAAATATGGATTACAGTCATTGATGTCAATGACAACTCTCCAGTTTTCTCTCAAGAGCTGTATATGGTGAACTTGAAAGAGAATACACAACGTGGGTCTCTAGTTGTACAGGTGAAAGCCACAGACAAAGATGCAGGTTCCTATGGTCAAATCACCTATAACTTCAGAAACATTCCAGAACGTGCTCGCCAGAAATTCAGTTTGGATTCAAAAAATGGGAAAATAACAATTCAGGAAACTCTGGACTATGAGGAAGCTGATAAATATCTAGTAGCAATAGAAGCAAGAGATGGAGGTGGATTAGCAGCTCACGCTAAAGTTGAAATAAAAGTATTAGATGAGAATGACAATCCTCCAGAAGTGATCCTTGCCTCTATGAACAGCCCAATACCTGAAGATTCAGCAACAGGAACTCTAGTAGCACTCATCAACATAAAAGATAAAGATTCTGGGGAAAATGGGGAAATTACTTGTTATTTGAAAGAAATTTTGCCATTCAAAGTAGTGTCAACACCCAATAACTTCTACAAGCTTCTTACAGATGGTCCCTTGGACAGGGAAAGCACTCCAGAGTACAATATCACAATCACAGGAACAGATAAAGGCACACCCCCTCTTTCAACTGAGAAAATCATTTTCCTGAAGATTTCAGATATCAATGATAATGCCCCTGCCTTTGAGAAATCCTCCTACGCTTCTTATGTACCAGAAAACAATCCTTCTGGCTCCTCCATTTTCCGTGTCCAAGCCTCAGATCCAGATCTGGAATGCAATGGCCAAATCACTTACTCCCTCCTCAGAAGCAACATTCAGGAGCTTCCTCTCTCGTCTTACCTCTCCATCAACTCTGAAAGTGGTGTCATTTATGCTCAGCGCTCCTTTGACTACGAACAGTGCCAGGAGTTTCAGGTACAAGTGAGGGCCCAAGATGGAGGCTCCCCTCCCCTCAGCAGCACTGCCACTGTGAAGGTCTTCATCCTGGACCAGAATGACAAGAGCCCTCAAATTCTTTATCCTTCTCAGGGAGTGGAGGGCTCAGCCTTGTTTGAGATGGTGCCTCGCTCAGCTGAGGAGGGTTATCTGGTGACCAAAGTGGTGGCGGTGGATGCAGACTCTGGGCACAATGCTTGGCTCTCCTACCATCTGGTCCAGGCCACTGAACCAGGGCTCTTCACAATTGGGACCCATAATGGGGAGATCAGGACATCACGGACATTTTTAGAAAGAGATGCTGTCAAGCAAAGGCTGGTGATCTTAGTGAAGGATAATGGCCAGCCTCCACTATCCAGTACTGTGAATCTTAATCTAGTGTTTGCTGAAACCTTCCAAGAGGCCCTTCCAGAAATTAACAGCCAACCAAGGGATCCAGAGTATCAGTCAGACCTCCAGTTCTATTTGGTCCTTGCTTTGGCTTTGATATCCTTCTTATTCCTCCTGACAGCGATTTTGGCCATTCTGACGAAGGTTCGAAGATCAGGGAGTCCTAAATTCTTACAATGCTTTGGTCCAGTTCCCCATTCAAACAATGCTGTCATATTCCCACCAAATTATGAAGAAGGGACTTTGCCTTATTCCTATCAGCTGTGTTTATCCTCTGAGTCCAGGATACAGGAATTTACCTTTCCAGCACCAAGCGTTCAAGCTGCAGGGAATTTTTCTAGTGATCAGAATTCTGACATGCTATTGACAGCCAATCAAGAAAATATTTTAAGGACAGAGATGAGTAATGATCATGGGGTGAGTTTTTTCCCTAATATCTACCTATTTTGTAATACGTTATGACTGAATTTTCTACTCCACTTTTACTGAATAGCCAATTAATAATATATTTCATTTCTTAAGTCTCCATTTTCATTCATTATTCTGGCTTTATTGAATAATCTTTAAAAATTTGAATGGTTTATTCTTTCTTGAATTGTGAGTTATTTCCGGTCCCATTTGGAAAGATTCTATCTAAATGCCATAATTTTGAATGAAAGCTATTGAGTATGAATGATCTAGGCTTGGGGATATTTCATCTACTGGGGCATGGAGACACAGGTGTGTTTGACAATGACGAAGGAGCAGCCCCATGGACTGCGGGATATGATATGATACTTTAGGTCTTAGTACAAGTATTTAGGAGCACGTCTTTCCTTGTATATATGTAGCCATTGCCCAAGTTGCGTGAGAGGTCAGGCACTTGAAGAGAGTTGGAAAAAGCACACATTGCCCAAGCTATTCAGAAACTCTAGACCTGACAGACACTAGTCTTCTTTCTACCTCAGAAGGAGGTGTAGAGAATTGGAGGGAGTTGGTGTTGCCAAATGGCTCAGAGAAGAGGTGGGTCTGTCTTGTATATTTATAGTCTCAGAATATGGGTGGTCTACTTGAGACCCTTTGGAGGATTTATTTATTTATTTATTTATTTATTTATTTATTTATTTCGAGGTTTTATATACCGACCTTCTCACCTTCAAAGAGGGATTCGGACCGGTTCACAACATGTTCTAACATACAAAAAATATACAATAACAACACAATGCCATTTCATTACACGGTTAAAATATCAGCACTATACACATTAAAACATTATCATCACAGTTAAAAGAGCCAAATCGTCCGACACCATCACAATCCCATTCATCATTTCCTTGCATGGATCCATTATCTGGCCAATCTCTGTAGAACACCAGGATACAAGTAGCAATTAAGGTTGCTAGTTTCCTTAAGTTTTGTGCTTAAGTGTGATTAAGACACATTGTTATTCTCCTCAGCTTCCTATGCTATCTACCTGGAAAGGTGAGATAAAGGTTTTCTCCTTGATATTAAGTCTAGTTGTGCCTGACTCTGGGGGGTGGTGCTCATCTCCATTTCTAAGCCATTGTCCATAGACGCCTCCAAGATCATGTGACTGGCATGACTGCATTGAGCAGCGTTACCTTCCCGTCAAAGCGGTACCTATTGATCTACTCACATTTGCATGTTTTTGAACTGCTAGGTTGGCAGAAGCTGGGTCTAACAGCAGGAACATACCCCACTCCCTGGATTTGAACCACCAACCTTTTGGTCAGCAAGTTCAACAGCTCAGCGGTTTAACCCACTATGCCACCGGAGGCTCCCTTGAATTAAACTAATTACCAACATTAGAACAATTCAGTTAAAATATTATAAATACAGAAATAAATACATATAAGCTAAAAAATAGTTCAGCCTAAAAAAGTTAGCATGCCTATCCAGTTTTTTTAATTACCTTATGTTTCAAAAACATGTCTGAATAAAAGGTTTTAGCCTGCCATTACAAGGACAGCAGGGAAGGGGCCAACAGGCTCCAAAGTTGAAGGACAGCCATTGAGAAGGCTCATTCTCGTTTCTCCACCAATCATGCTTGCAATGTTGGTGGAACTGACAGTAGGGCCTCGCCTGATGATCACATAGCCCAGGCTGGTCCATATTTATTGGCTGGAAAATAGCATAACACAGTTACATGCAAACATTTATTCCTGAGAAAAGGAAATACCATACAATCTGCGAAATAGCTTGGATCTGAGTCACAACGCGTTGTTTTTATGAAACATTTAATCCATTATTCATTGTAATATCAGTATTCTACTTAAAATTCCTGTCTTCATATATTTAGCTACTATAATTATACATTTCAGTATATCTTAGAGGTCAGCTGAACTGTGTCATATTGGAAATAAATTCCGTTTGAATAGCATTTTAAAGACATCTCAGAATCCATGCTGTCTGTCATCCACTTGGCATATTTTTGTAAGTATTAATTTAAATACCATTACCAGAGGGGATGGAAATTTGTAACACTGCAAAATGTGGTTGCAACCATGTTACTACAGAGGTACTCTCTTCAGCTTTCTCATTTTGACTAAAGATCTGCAACAGATTTCATGTTATAGACAACATAATTAACCAGAGGTATTTCTTTTCTTTCTTGTGTCTTGAAAAAAATCTCAGATCCTTTAAAAGTATTATTTCTAACATTCATGGACAGTAAGTTCAAGTATTTACATAATTTGGAAGGGGGTGTGTGTGTGATTTCTGAAGTCTTATTAATACCGGGTTGAAAGCATCAAAGAGGCATCTCTTCCAATTTCAGCATACACAAACAGTGTAGTATAATGATTTGTGTGTTCGACTATAACTGTGGAGACAAGGATTTAAATACCTACTTGGGCAAGTGAACCTCAGAAAAAGGTAAAATCATATCCCATCTGAACAAATCTTGCCAAGAAAAAACCTATGATAGATTCTCTGTAGGATTACTGTAAGTCAGACACAACTTGACAGCCCCCTTAAAGCACCAACAAAAGGATGAATTATTGTGTTATTATACTTCCTCTATTTTGAACCAGTGAATCTCTAGTACGTAAACAGCAAGAAATTCTGTTCAAAGCAATTGCTTAAGACATGGCTTGCAGTTCTCCATTTCAGCCTCAGAGTGCCACTGTTGCCCAGCAAAGAACTGCCATTCCAGGGATCTTTCATGCAGTGAAATTGCTTATTCACTGAGAAATAGCAAGACATAGGGACAGACAAACATTTATTTCCGAGAAAAGGAAATACTGCAATATAAAGAACCAAAAACCATTGACTTACCACTCACTTCATCAATATTTCTGGATCTTGATCAGAATTTAAAAATCTTCAGCTTATCTGAGCTCATCAAACAATGATAAAACTGATCTTCTCATTGCATGGAACGGAGGAAATGAAAAAACACAGCAGCAGATCTCTACAAAGGCAAGTGATTCTCTTATTTTTCTCTTTGTTTTGCATAGCTGCTCCAGAACAGATTCAGTATTCAGTTCCTGAAGAACTGGAAAAGGGCTCCATTGTGGGAAATCTTGCCAAAGATCTGAGACTAAATACTGAAGAAATAGCAAGAAGCAATCTACATATACTTTCTTTAGGGGAAAAGCAATATTTCATTATCAATAGAAACAATGGGAATCTTTATGTAAATGACAGGATTGATAGAGAGGAAATATGTGGGGAAAGTATATCTTGCACCATCAATTTTGAAGTGATGGCTGAAAATCCTATGAATATTTTTCATATAATTGTAGAAGTCCAGGATGTGAATGACAATGCACCACATTTTTTGAATGGTGATATCAAATTGGGGATCAGTGAATTAACTTTGCCAGGAGCCACATTTCTCCTTGAGCAAGCTGAGGATCCTGATATTGGGATGAATACAATACAGGATTACAGCCTCAATACAAACCAGTACTTTGTTCTAGACATGACAGAGAGAGAATCTGGAAAAGCCTATGTAAAATTAGTACTGAACAAACAATTGGATCATGAAAGTGAAAGCAATTTCCATTTAACTCTTATGGCTCTGGATGGAGGGAAGCCACCCAAAACGGGGACAGCCAAAATATGGATTACAGTAATTGATGTCAATGACAACACACCGGTTTTCTCTCAAGAGCTGTACATGGTGAACCTGAAAGAAAATACACCACGTGGGTCTCTAGTGGTACAGGTGAAAGCCACAGACAAAGATGCCGGTTCAAATGGACAGATCAGTTATGGCTTTAGAAACATCCCTGAACGTGTTCGCCAGAAATTCAATTTGGATTCAAAAGATGGGAAAATAACAATAAAGGAAACTCTGGACTTTGAGGCATCAGATAAATATCTAGTAGCTGTAGAAGCAATAGATGGCGGTGGATTAGCAGCTCATGCTAAAGTTGAAATAAAAGTATTAGATGAGAATGACAATGCTCCAGAAGTCATTCTGGCCTCTTTGAACAGCCCAATACCTGAAGATTCAGCAACAGGAACTTTGGTAGCACTCATCAACATAAAAGATAAAGATTCTGGGGAAAATGGGGAAATTACTTGCTATTTAAAAGACATTTTGCCATTCAAAGTAGTGTCAACATCCAATAACTTCTTCAAGCTTCTTACAGATGGTCCCTTGGACAGGGAAAGCAACCCAGAATACAATATCACAATCACAGCAACAGACAAAGGCACACCTCCTCTATTAACAGAGAAGATAGTTTCCCTTAAGATTTCAGATATCAATGACAATTCTCCTGCCTTTGAAAAATCTTCTTACAATGTCTTTGTGCCAGAGAACAATCCTTCAGGCTCCTCCATTTTCCAGGTCCAAGCCTCAGATCCTGATCTGGAACGCAATGGCCATATCACTTACTCCCTCCTTAGAAGCAACATTCCAGAAATGCCTCTCTCGTCTTACCTTTCAATTAATTCTGAAAGTGGCATCATGTATGCTCAGCGCTCCTTTGACTATGAACAGAGCAGAGAAATTCAAGTAGAAGTGCAGGCGCAAGATGGTGGCTCTCCATCCCTCAGCAGCACAGCTATTGTGAAGATCTTCATCCTGGACCAGAATGACAAGAGCCCTCAAATTCTTTACCCTTCTCAGGGAATGGAGGGGTCAGCCTTGTTTGAGATGGTGCCTCGCTCAGCTGAGGAAGGTTATCTGGTGACCAAAGTGGTGGCAGTGGATGCAGACTCTGGGCACAATGCTTGGCTCTCGTACCATCTGGTCCAGGCCACTGAGCCAGGGCTCTTCACAATTGGGACCCATAATGGGGAGATCAGGACCTCACGGACATTCTTGGAAAGAGATGCTGTCAAGCAGAGACTGGTGATTTTAGTGAAGGATAATGGCCAGCCACCACTATCCAGTACTGTGAGTCTTAACCTGGTCTTTGCTGAAAACTTCCAAGAGGCCCTTCCAGAAATTAACAGCCCATCCAGAGACCCAGAGTATCAGTCAGACCTCCAATTCTACTTGGTTCTTGCCTTGGCTTTAATTTCCTTTTTATTCCTACTGACAGTGATTCTGGCCATTTTGACAAAGCTTCGAAGATCAGGGAACCCCAAGTTTTTGCAGTGTTTTGGTCCGGTTCCCCATTCAAACAATGCTGTCATATTCCCACCAAACTATGAGGAAGGAACTTTGCCTTACTCCTATCAGCTGTGTTTATCTTCAGAATCTAGGATACAGGAATTTACTTTTCCAGCACCAAGTGTTCAAGCTGCAGGGAATTTTTCATGTGATCAGAATTCTGACATGCTAATGACAGCAAATCAAGAAAATATTTTAAAGACAGAGATGAGTAATGATGATGGGGTGAGTTTTCCTCTTACATCTGCCTATTTTGTAATATGTTAAGATTGAATTTTCTAAACCGCTTTTAATGAATTGCCCATTAATAGCATATTTTCATTTCTTAAGTCCTCATTTTTGTTCATTATTCCAGTTTTATTCAATAATATGTAAAAGGTTTAATGGTGTATTCTTTTGGAATTGCGCATCATTTCAGACTCCATTGGGAAGAATTCTATTGAAGGACCATAATTTTGAATGAAAGCTGTTGTGTGTGCATGATCTAGGCTGGGGCATGGAAATGCAGGAGTGCTCGTTTGACCATAATGAACAGCCCCATGGACTACAGGATGTGAGATGATACTTTAGCTCATACTACATATTTATGAAAACATATTTCCTTGTATGTATGTAAACATTGTCCCAGTTATGTTAGATTTTCTGGAGATATTCAGATCTCATTCTACAGGAGATCAAGCAACGTAATAGACAGCTATCCAACTTGCCTCTCTAGAATGGAGAAAGTGTGATTGTTCTGTTGAAACACAACTTCCAATTTGATAGTCAAAACATTGTGTTACTCTTTGTATTAAGTTCTATGTAGAGCTAGCAACATTTCTTTTATATAAGATATGGGAGAAGATACTCATGGGAAGGATGAAGCGGCATCATTATCATTGATCTTTAGTTCAGTAAGAGCTAATACTTCTAGTAAAATTTATAGGCCCAGACAGTTTATGAATAAATGCCCTTTCCACGTGTATTCTATACATTTTTTTCAAAATTCTTTTTTTTCCTTTAATGTTATAGATGAAAAGAAACTCTCAGATATACTTTTTAGAAAAGATCATGAAATATTGTGTGATATTTTATTAAGTAAGATTTCTAACACAGATTTCGGTGACTTGGAGAGAGGTATGCATGTCCTTTGTGCACTGCCAGTGATTATGGCAGAAGCTGAAAGATGTTTCATTAGCCAAGAAAACTTCAAAAAGTGCAAGATTTCTGCTAGGTGGCAAAAGATTAGGCTACCTAGTAGGGGTGCAATTCGGTTAAACTTCATTTAGTTTTTGGTATCCAGATTTCGGTGGACCCCCAGATCTATTTTTTCAGGAGCCTCCCAAATTCAGTGAGGGAAAAAAATCCATTTTTCGATCTGGCAACTGAAAGATCTGGGAAGATCCAGTCCATTAGCAGCAATGGGGAACTTATGAGGCTCCCATTTCTGTCATTTTTAGGGCATCGGTCTTAAGAAATCACTGTTTCTGGGATCCTTTCTCCTTATATCCTTCAATAAATCCTGGATTAAATGCACCAGACTTAGGAAACCATCCTTTCTGGAATCCTTTCTTCTTACATCCTTTAATAAGACCTGGGTTAAAAGCATCAGACTTAAGAAACCATCCTTTCTGGGATCCTTTCTCCTTAGATCCTTCAAAAAGACTTGGTTTAAAGGCTTAAGAAACCGGTTTTCTGATATCGTTTGCCCTCAACACACTTTCAACGAAGCTGAGTTAAGGGAGGCACCCTTTTTAAACACTTATTTCAATGGGAGCCGCACCACCTGAAGGAACATATGGCAGCTTTAGAAATGGTAAGGTACTTCCTCTACCCCACATTTGAAACTTGCCTCATGTGAAGGGCACCTGTGGTGGCAGTTTCTTAAGTGTGTAGACAGTAAAGTGCTTTGCTATTTGAGTTAAAAAGCAAGCCAAGCCACGCAGAGCTGTGAGCGGCACTGAGAATTTAGATCACCAATCTGTCTCTCTCAGAAGCCTGCTTGCAACAGAAAAATGGAAGCCCAGCTTGGCTAAAAGAGATGTCGTGACTTTCTTCTATTCTGATTGGCTCAACAGGCAGGGCTCATAGGGAATCCTGTGCGGGTGCCTGGGTGCCCCTTCGAGCTCCACGTGTAGCCAAAAGAAACAGAAAGCAATTGTTTTCTGCAGCCACATAGTCCGTTTCGATTGTAAAAAATGGAGGCTGAGGCTGAGCCTGTGCCGGTACAGTTGGCCGAAACAGGCAAAATGGCTGGAGCCGGTTTTGAAAAACAGATCCATGCACAATCGTACTACCTAGTTATTTTGTCTATCAAGAGTACATTGTAGACAAAATTGACTTTGTGGGGGGAAATTTCTTATTTTCAATGAAAAGATCAAGAAAAACAAACTCTTAAATTGAAACAAATAAGTTTGCACCATTTGCAACTATGCTGATTTATTGCATCTTTTAAAATCAATGCTTCAACAGAACAAGGCCTATATTAGAACCATTACCAAGACCTTGCACTTGGAAAGTAATCATACTCGGCTACGAGTGATTGTCTATGATATTAGAACCAACATAAAAACTGCTACATACTTATGTTGTGTAGGCAATCTTTCTCAAGCCAAATGTTTCTGAAGAAAAATATGAAAATATGATTGTAACATCATATGAGTTCATAGTATGATTTTTCAAATATTGAAAAGCCTGTATTTACTCAAGTATAATGCACCAACAAATGTAATGCACACTTCAGTTTAGCAGATGTGCGTTACCAATATATGTATATGCTGTCAAATGTAATATGAGGTAGAGGTGGCTGTGAAAAGACTGGTGGGAAGCCCCTCCATTAGGCCTTGCTATCAGCATTTTCATGACCACCTTTACTTCTCCCTCCTCTGTTCCTACCTGGGATATCTTGCCCAACAGCACAGACTGGTTTTGGTGTGCAATTCTTACACACCATTGAATCTAATGTGCACCTCAATTTTAGCTATATATTTTAGCCAATAAAGGTGAGCATTAGACTTGAATAAATATGGTATTTTTAAAAACTCACAGCTAGTATGCTAGCCATTAAAGTTTCTGTATGATACATTTGCAGTGCCAATTTTCTGATACAGACATGTAGCAATTACATTTAAAAATCTTCTGTGCTTAGAATCCAAACAGAAATGAATTATGTAAATATAAAACAAATACAACAACCAGAGTTGCCATAAAAGGCTGAGGGAAGGAAACAGAAATACCCAAAGCTTCTACTGTGATTTTTGGCTACAGTGATAGCCGGCTCCTCCTCTTCAGAAGGACAACTTGGCATTAGGGACTAGTGTGCATGTATGGCAGGCAAAGGACACAATTACTTAAATCAGTATTTAACTGTTTTATTGCTTTTACTTTCCAAACAACCATATGTTACCTTCTAGTTAACGTTGTGGCCCGGATTTTTTATTGTCTTCATGGCTTAAAATTGTATTGTTACCGACTCTTTAACCAATCAGCCTAACTGGAGTGTAACTGCAGCTATTCCTCTAGAAATTCGGTACCTCTCATATGGAAAAACACTTTTCAATACCTCAGTTATGAAAGGTGAACAGCGGCCTAATTTATTACCTCTGCACAGTTTACACAACAAAATCTGTACTGATCCTTAGTTCACCTCTAAAACACCATGATAAATCTGGATTGTGGATGTTTCACTTCCATCTTAAAGGTACAAAGTTGGCAAAAAAGCACACATTGCCCCGGCCATTCAAAGAGTATAAACCTGACAGTCTTGCTTGTACTTCAGAAGGCATCAAAGGGAATTGGTGTTGCCACATGGACTCGAGCAGTGGTGGGTCTGTCTTGTACAATCTCACAATATGGATAGTTTACGTGTAACACTTTGGAGGATTTATTTCTCTGCCCTTCCCCTGGGCAAAAAGGCATGGATACATAGAATCATAGAGTTGGAAGAGACCTCATGAGCCATCCAGTCCAATCCCCTGCCAAGAAGCAGGAAAATTGCATTCAGAGCACCCCTGACAAATGGCCACCCAGCCCCTGTTTAAAAGCTTCCAAAGAAGGAGCCTCCACCACACTCTGGGGCAGAGAGTTCCACTGCTGAACGGCTCTCAAAATCAGGAAGTTCTTCCTAATGTTCAGATGGAATCTCCTTTCTTGTAGTTTGAAGCCATTGTTCCGCGTCCTAGTCTCCAGGGCAGCAGAAAACAAGCTTGCTCCTTCCTCCCTATGACTTCTTCTCACATACTTATATACATGGCTATCATGTCTCCTCTCAGTCTTCTATTCTTCAACAGATCTGTGTAGGACATCAGGAAACTGTTGACCAACTAAACTTGACAATTTCTCCCAGTTTTCTCTTAAAGTATACCTGAGGCCCATATTTATTCTATCTAGATATCTAGTATTTTCTGTCTACCTGGAAAGGTGAGACAAGGTAGTCAGAACCTAGGAGGAACCTGCTTCCTAAATCTACTTGAGTTGCTTCTAAATGAGATGTAGGATACAATACCCTTCAAGAGAGGAAACTGGGGAACAGGTTTGCCATAGGATTACTGTAAGTTAGACAAAACATGGAGGTGCATTTAAATCAAAAACAAAAGGATGAATTATCACTTACTTTCTGATACAATTTTCTCCAATACAGATGGGGAAAATGGTTCTAGACATTTGTTGTTTATCAGCTTTGAATCAGCCAAATGCAAGTATATAAAAAGCATGAAATATTGTGCAAAGAATATCCTTAGACAGGGCTTGCAGTTCTCCTTTTCAGCCTCAGAGTGCCACTGTTGGCCAGTAAAGAACTGCCATTCCAGGGATGTTTCCTGCAGTGAAATTGCTTATTCACTGAGAAATAGCAGAACGCAGGGACATGCAAACATTTATTTCTGAGAAAAGAAAATACTGTAATGTAAAGAACCAAAAACTGGTTACTTCATACTCACTTCATCAATATTTCTGGATCCCAATCAAGATTTGAAATTCTTCAGTTTATCTCATCATATCAAACTAATATAAAGCAGATTCTCTCATTGAATGGAATGGAGACCAGGAACAAACACAGCAGCAGATCTCTACAAAGGCAAGTACTTCTTTTATTCTTCTTTTTGTTTTACAAGACTAACTCAGAAGACATTAAGTATTCAATTCCTGAAGAACTGGAAAAGGGCTCCATTGTGGGAAATCTTGCCAAAGATCTGAGACTAAATACTGAAGGAATAGCAAGCAGCAATCTGCATATTCTTTCTGTAAATGAAAAACAATATTTCATTATCAGTGCAAAAAATGGGAATCTTTATGTAAATGACAGGATTGATAGAGAGGAAATATGTGGGGAAAGTATATCCTGCACCATCAGTTTTGAAGTGATGGCTGAAAATCCTTTGAATATTTTTCACATTATTGTAGAGGTCCAGGATGTGAATGACAATGCACCACATTTTCTGCAAGGCGATATCAAACTGGAGATCATTGAATCAACTTTGCCAGGAGCCACATTTCACCTTGAGCAAGCTGAGGATCCTGATATTGGAATGAATACATTACAGAATTACAGCCTTAGTACAAATCAATACTTTGTTTTGGATGTGACAGAGAGACAATCTGGGGAAAAATATGTAAAATTAGTGCTGAAGAAACAATTGGATCATGAAACTGAAAGCAGTTTCCATTTAACTCTTATGGCTCTGGATGGAGGGAAGCCACCAAAAACGGGGACAGCTAAAATATGGATTACAGTCATTGATGCCAATGACAACTCACCAGTTTTCTCTCAAGAGCTGTACATGGTGAACCTAAAAGAGAATATGCCACGTGGGTCTCTAGTGGTACAGGTGAAAGCCACAGACAGAGATGCTGGTTCAAATGGCCAGATCAGTTACAGCTTTAAAAACATTCCTGAACGTGCATTCCAAAAATTCAGTTTGGATTCAAAAGATGGGAAAATAACAATTAAGGAACCTCTGGACTTTGAAGAAGCAGACAAATATTCGTTAGCCATAGAAGCAAGAGATGGTGGTGGATTGGTAGCTCACTCTAATGTCAAAATAAAAGTATTAGATGAGAATGACAATGCCCCAGAAGTTATCCTTGCCTCCTTGTCCAGCCCAATAGCTGAAGATTCTGCGCTTGGAACTCTGGTAGCACTCATCAATACAAAGGATAGAGATTCTGGGGATAATGGAGAAATTACTTGCAATTTAAAGGATTTTCTGCCATTCAAAGTAGTATCAACATCCAGTAATCTCTATAAGATTCTTACAGATGGTCCCTTGGACAGAGAAAACACCCCGGAGTACAATATCACAATCACAGCAACAGACAAAGGGACACCCCCTCTTTCAACAGAGAAGATAATTTCCCTGAAGATTTCAGATATTAATGACAATTCCCCTGCCTTTCAGAAATCCTCTTACACCATCTTTGTGCCAGAGAATAATCCTTCAGGTTCCTCCATTTTCCGGGTCCAAGCCTCAGATCCAGATCTGGAACGCAATGGTCAAATCGCTTACTCCCTCCTCACAAGCAATATTCAGGAACTGCCTCTCTCGTCTTACCTCTCCATCAACTCTGAAAGTGGCATCATCTATGCCCAGCGCTCCTTTGACTATGAACAGTGCCAGGAGTTTCAGGTACAAGTGAGGGCCCAAGATGGAGGGTCCCCATCCCTTAGCAGCACTGCCACGGTGAAGGTCTTCATCCTGGACCAGAATGACAAGAGCCCTCAAATCCTTTATCCTTCTCAGGGAGTGGAGGGCTCAGCCTTGTTTGAGATGGTGCCTCGCTCAGCTGAGGAGGGTTATCTGGTGACTAAAGTGGTGGCGGTGGATGCAGACTCTGGGCACAATGCTTGGCTTTCCTACCATCTGGTCCAGGCCACTGAACCAGGACTCTTCACAATTGGGGCTCATAATGGTGAGATCAGGACCTCCCGGACATTCTTGGAAAGAGATGCTTTAAAGCAGAGGTTGGTGATCTTAGTGAAGGATAATGGCCAGCCACCACTATCTAGTACTGTGAGTCTTAATCTGGTCTTTGCTGAGACCTTCCAAGAGGCCCTTCCAGAAATTAACAGCCAACCCAGGGACCCAGAGTATCAGTCAGACCTCCAGTTCTATTTGGTCCTTGCCTTGGCTTTGATTTCTTTCTTATTCCTCCTGACAGCAATTTTGGCCATTCTGACAAAGGTTCGAAAATCAGGGAGTCCCAAATTCTTACCGTGTTTTGGTCCTATTCCCCATTCAAACAATGCTGTCATATTTCCACCAAACTATGAAGAGGGAACTTTGCCTTACTCCTATCAACTGTGTTTATCTTCTGAGTCCAGGATACAAGAATTTACTTTTCCAGCACCAAGTGTTCAAGCTGCAGGGAATTTTTCATGTGATCAAAATTCTGACATGCTATTGACAACCAATCAAGAAAGCATTTTAAAGACAGAGATGAGTAATGATGATGGGGTGAGTTTTTTTTTCTTATATCAGCCTATTTTGCAGAACATTAAGACTGAGTTTTCTACATTAAATTTAATGAATTGCCAATTAATAGCCTATTTTGATTTCTCAAGTCCTTATTTTATTTAGTTCATTATTCCAACATTATTGAATAATCTTTAAAGGGTTGAATGGTTTAATTTCTTGGAATTGCGAGTTATTTCAAGCCCCATTTGGAAGATCTCTATTCAAGGACCATAATTTTGAATGAAAGCTGTTGTGTATGCAAGATCTAGGCTTGGGGATATTTCATCTACTGGAGCATGGGGACACAGGAATGTTTCATTATGATGAAGCAACTGTCCCATGGACTGTAGGATATGAGATTATACTTTAGCTCATACTAAACGTATTTATGAAAACATCTTTCCTTGTATTTATGTAGCCGTTGTCCCAGTTATGTGAGATTTCTGGAGGAATCTCACAAACCCTATTCTAAAACAGATCTAGCAGCAGTTGTCATAGTTTCGTCTGGAACGGAAAAAGTGTGATTGTGCTCTTGAAACAGAATTTCTAATTAGAGCATCACACTAAGAAACATAAATTCCCATAATCATCATCATCACCATCATTGATCTTTAGGACAGAACGAGCGAATACTGCTAGTAGGATTTATACACCTAGGCAATTTATGAATAAATTCTCCTTTCACATGTAGTCTATAAGTCCTTCTCATATTTTTTTTTCTTTGTGAAATTATGTAGGTAAAAATAAATGCTTGGTTTTGGAAAATAATGTGAAATATTTTGAGATACCTTATTAAGTGGGATTTCTAACGCAAGTTTCAGTGACTTGGGGAGAACTATATGTATCTTTTGTGCACTACCAGTGATTATAGCAGAAGCTGAAAGATGTTTAATTAACCAAAAAAGCCTTCAAAAGCTGTAAGATTTCTGCTAGGTGGCAAAAAAAATGGACTACCTAATTATTTTGTCTATCTAGAGTCAATCCTTATGAAAAAATGACTTTGAGGGAACAATTCACAAGGTTTAAGTGGGGAAAACGAGCAAGATAAATCCATTTGCACTATTTCAAGCTACAGTAATGTATTAAAAACTGTTACCATTTAATTGTTTTTTAATTTTTGTGTTTTTAAACTTGACTAAGTGTGGGAATGTTAGCCGTCTTGCGTCCCCACGGGGAGAAAGGTGGGGATATAAATAAAGATAATAGTAATAATCAGTCATTGAACAGAATTAGGCCTTTATTAGAACTAACATAAACATTGCTGCATAATCATCACATTGTATAGGTGTCCTTTTTCAAGCCAGACGTTGCTGAAGAAAAATATCAAAATGTGAGGAACTGTAGCATTGTATCAGCCCTGCAGTGATTTGTAGTATGCTTTTTCAAATATAAAAATAATTTTAAAAACAGCTATTATGCTAATTATGAATGTTTTTGTACTGTTTTAGCACAATACATCATTTCTCTGATATAGACATGTAGTGATTGCATTTCCAAGTCTTCTATGCTTAGAATTCAAGAATAGAATGGATTTATGTAAACAAAACAAATGCAAAAATCAAAGATAGTTGCCATAAAAGATTGAGGGAGGAAAACAGTAGAAGTGCCCAAAGCTGCTTCTGTGATTTCTGGCTACAGCAATAGACAGGTCCTCCACTTTGGAAAGACCATTGCCATTAGGGATTTGCTTGTATGGCAAACAAATGACATCGTTGATTAAATATGTACTTAACTGTTTTACTGTTTTAACTTTCTAAGCTACCATCTATTACCTTCTAGTTAAAAGTTGTATTCCTGATTTTTTTTATTGCCTTCATAACTTGTATTGTCACCAACCCCTGAACCAATTAACCTGACCGGATTGTAACTGCAGCTATTCCTCTAGAGATTCTTTAATTTTCATCTGTAAAGATTCATTTCACTATCTTGGTTCTAAAAGGTGAACATCAGTGTAATCTATTATCTCTGCACAGTTTAGACAACACTAATCTGATCATCTCTACATAATTGAAAACATCATGACATAACTGGATTGTGAATGTTTCAGTTCCATCTTGATGGTACAAAGTTGGTGAAAAAGCACATTCAGGGGATATACGCCTGACACACACCAGTCTTGATTATATTTCAGAAGGAGTTGGAGTGAATTGGTGTTGCCTAATGGACTGGAGAAGAGCTGGTCAGTCTTGTAAATGTACAGAACTGTCTCTCAATATGGATGGTCTACATGAGACCCTTTGGAGAATTGTTTTCCCTGGTCAAGAAGGCATGTATCCAGTAAATAACTGATCGCTAGCTAGTATATTCTACCTACTTGGAAAGGTTAGACAAAGCAGAGCCTAAGAGCAACTCCCTTCCTAAAATCCCTTGAGCTGCTTCTAAGTGAGACATAAGTCGAGATATACTTCAAGAGTGCAAACTGGAGGATGACAGTAAAAATTACTCATCTTTCAAATGCTGAATACCACTATGTAACAAAATTTGAAAAAAAAATCTGTTCCTGATATGAAAGTGTTATTTCCTGTGTAATTGTGTGGTACTAACTTTGAAAGTAATTGTTATAATCCAGAAACTTAGTTTTTGTGGCTGCCACAAACTATGTTGAATTGGTTGAGACTTGATGAGATATTTATTGAAAAACTATAGCAAAAGGTGCTGCAGGCGGTCCTGCAGAAACAAAAAAATTCAGTTTAATAAACTCTTTCCATGTTTTTATGATAGACCCAATTAGGAAATTACATTTATAACCCAGGAACAAAGATCATGTTATATAGCGTAATCCCACCTGGTGCTGATGTAAGCCAAAGAGAAGGCAGGGGGACATGTTATGCTGGGTTTTACCTTCACTTGGATCCTCATCATATGAGGCTTGGGAAGCATCCTAGGATGCTTCCCCATTAGTTCAGTGATGGATGGGCACACTGCCCATCCCATGATGTCGCTAGACTTCTGGCAGAGGCCCTGCCCACAACTGGAATGGAAGCATCATATGATGCTTCCATCACAACACATGCTGTGCCTTCCCTCCTGCAATCATTTTTGAAGAAGTGCAGTAAGACAAAGATTAAGGCTGGATAAACATAATTGCTCTATTATTATTATTATTATTATTCGCTAAGATTGGAATCCACAGTAGCTTACTATTCAATAAAAAATACAATACAATTAAAATGTACAATAAGTTAGTAGAATTAAAATTGAATTAAACCAGTTGTCACAATTCTGTTGAAATGCAATTTAAAATAACTAAAAGGTTGTTAAAAACAAGTTAGCCTAAAACCCCTTCTCCATTCTTTAAATACTTTCTGTTTTAAAAGCCTTTCTGAAAAAAAAAATTAGCCTGGTGTCAGAAGGAACACTCCGTAGGAAGGCAGTTCGAAAGTTCAGGGACGGCCATTGAGAGGCTCTTTCTCAGAACTCCATCAACTATGTGTGCAGTGGTGGTGGGACAAAGCGTATGGTCTCTCCTAATGATCACATAGCCTAGGCAGTCTCATACTTCTTAACTGTGAAATAGCAGAATGCAGGGACATGCAAAAATTTATTTCTGGGAAAGGTAAATACCATATGATGTGCAAAATAGCTTGTATCCAAACCATAATGTATCATTAGTGAAAACTTTATTCCATGTTTAATTGCCTTATCAACACTTTGCTGCATTCCTGTTTTCATAAGTTCAGCTACTCTAGTTGTACCTTTCAATGTATCTTAGAGGGTGGTTGACTTGTGCCAGATTGGAAAAAAAATTCAGTTTACATAGCATTCTAAGGACGTCCCAGAATCTATACTATCTGTGTACTACTTGACATATTTTTATAAGTAGACATGAATTCAAATACAATTGCAAGTGGGGGTGGGAATTTTCACTCTTTCTCAATTTGAATAAAGATTTATCTGAAGCGAACACTCTGAATCAGAAGCTCTGGAACAGATTACATGTTATGGACTACCTGACCAGAGATATTTGTTTATTACTTTGAAGATGCTTTAAATATACTACTTCTAAAGTTCATGGAAACTAAATGCAAGTAGTTACATAACTTGGGGGTTAAAAGGTGAATGATAGATGTCTTATTCATACCTACCAGAAAGCCTCAGAGTGGCATCAATTCTAATTCAGGAATACATAAAAGGAAAAGAGAGACAGTGTAGTATAATGATTTGAATGTTGGAGTAGGAATATGGAGATGAGGATTCAAATTGCCACTTAGCCAAGAAATACAGTGGGCGAACATGGGCAAGTCACATTCTCCGAGCCTCAGATGAAAACAAAACAAAAAAAAAAACATCTGAACAAATCTTGTCAAGAAAAGCCTGTGATCAGATTGTCATAGGATTACCATAGGCGAGATACAACTTGAAGATGCATTTTAAAAAAACAACATACTTTCTGATACAGTTTTTCCCAATGAAGCTGGGGAAAACAGTTCAAGATACGTGTTGTTTATCAAGATTGTGCTTCCTCTACTCTGAACCAGAAAAAAATCAAGTATCTAAACAGCAAAAAATCTATTCAAAGCATTTCCTTAGACATGGCTTGCAGTTCTCCCTTTCAGCCTCAGAGTGCCACTGTTGGCCAGCAAAGAACTGCCATTCCAGGGATGTTTCATGCAGTGAAATTGCTTATTCACTGAGAAATAGCAGAACGCAGGGACATGCAAACATTTATTTCTGAGAAAAGGAAATACTACAGTATAAAAAACCAAACACCAGTGACTTCATACTTCATCACTCTTTCTGGATTTGAATCTGAAATTCTTCATCTTTTCTGATCATATCAAACAAGGATAAGGCAGATTTCCTCACTGAGTGGAATGGAGGACATGAACAAACACAGCAGCAGATCTCCCCAAAGGCAAGTAATTCTTTTATTTTTCTCTTTGTTTTGCAAAGCTGCTCCAGAACAGATTCAGTATTCAATTCCTGAAGAACTGGAAAGGGGCTCCATTGTGGGAAATCTTGCCAAAGATCTGAGACTAAATACTGAAGAAATAGCAAGCAGCAATCTACATATCATTTCTGTGGATAAAAAGCAATATTTCATTATCAGTGCAGAAAATGGGA